TTGCCAGGATCCTCCACCTCCATTGGTTTGATCGTTATTGGCAAATAATAGTGCCTTTCTTGATCCTTTTGTCATGCCTGCATTATGGTATATGAGGCGCCGGTGAGTTTGTGTTTTCTTTTTTTTTTAATCTTTTATTTTCTGTCCACTTTCCCACTCTTCGTTACCATTTTTATCTATTTAATTAGTTTATCCTCAGTCTCTCCTTCAGACTCTTCTTCTCCAATCCTATCTCCAGATTTTTACAATTTCTGTTAAAATACACATAAGTTTGCTATCTGTACCTTTTTTAAGTATACAGTTCAGTGGTGGTAAATGCATTCACATTGCTGTGGAGGCGATCACCAGAACGCTTTCCTCTTGCAAAACTGATACGATTTCTACTAAACAGCAGTTTCCATTTCCTTCTCCTCCCACCCAGGCTCAGACTAGGACCACTCTACTTTCTGCCTCTATGAATTTGACTATTCTATGTACCTCATCTAAGTGGAACCATACAGCATTTGTCCTTTTGTGCTTGACTACTTCACTTAGCATAATGTCCTCAAGGTTCATCCACACTGGAGCATGTAACAGGATTTTTTCTTCATTTTTTCATGTGAACAATATTCCATTGTTGGTTTCCAACATATTTTGTTCATTCATTCATCCATCGATGGACATGTGGGCTGCTTACACCTTTAGATGTTGTTAATAATGTTGCTATGAACATGGGTGAACAAATATTTCTTATGTAGAACTCCTTTTTTCTGTATTTTTAACAGGTCTTATCAGGATATCCCATGAGCCTTCATCATGTCTCCTCCCATTTGGAATAAGTTTCAAGAAGCTAAGAATCCCAAGATGTCAGCCCAGGCATCAGTCTCATCATATTTCTTAAAATGCTCATCGTATTCAATTAAATCAAAGTTCCTATAGATTTTAAGATATTATAACTTAAGCAATATAACTGTCAAGTTAGTGATCTTCTTTCAGAGTCATCTTCTTCCTTCCTTTTTTTCCTTTAGTGG